ATTGCACATTTGTTACAGCGCTTCAACTAATCAATAATATCTGGTTTAGTACTCTCTTATACATTATATAGCAGTTTAAAGTGTAAATAAATCACGCATCAAATATATAACCAATTATTAGTCATTTTTTCTCAATATATCATAATTTGTGTGGTATTTACAGACAATAACACAAGAAGTCATCACCCAATCAATGGTGACTTCCGTTCATTCATTTAAGTGTTCCTTTGGTTAAACCATGGTATCAGATACAGTATCAGTCAATAGTAATCAATTAAATATTCATAGATTTCAATGGTTTACAGACAGTATAGACAGTATATGAATGGCCTAATGGTCTGATTATGTGAGTGTGTGGTCACAAGTGGTCACTACCTGTGGTTCTCCTTAACAACTCTCCTTCGTTTGGTTGGATTGCTATCGGATTGCTCTGAGAGTGAAAGACATTGCGCTCATTAGCACTACAATTACAGGTTATGGCCACAGATTGTGTGTTCAAATTAAATACCGGTGTTGTTGTTGAGGCCAACCCTTGTCTTTCTCTTGACTAATAATGAAGACGTAATGATGGGTGAAGTGGTCGAAGCAGTCGAGGCGTCGTTATTATAATTATTGGCCGAATCGTTAGACAGATCTAAACCAACGATTTCCATGTGAAGTGATTCCGACGAAGAGTCACTCGCATTCAAATTAATGCCAGTCGTAGTCATCATAATGTTGTGGTCCCGCGACCGACGGGTTGAGCGTTGGGTAGACGTTGTCCTGCTTTGGTCCCTATCGCGGCCTAATAGACAACACATCATACGATATGTTAATCTCAATAGTATTGACAAATAAATCAAAATAACTTTACCTTTTTTGGGCCTTTCTATCAAACGGTTTGCGATTTTCTCATTATTTGTATCTTTAATATAATTTATATTCCTTTGTTTGTTAACAATCTTTTGATTCTTAGCAACGGTTCCCGTCCGTAATCGTGATCTGTTAGGCCACGTGACGCCTGCACTCTCTTTCACAGTCAAGTCTTCATCACTGGAGCCGTTGTTGTTGTTATTTGGACTAAAGATAGGCTCACTCGACGGCAACTTGTTTTTCCTAATCCTTAAGTTCTTAGATTTGTTCAAATGGTTGGCTTCCGATGAGTCATTGGTCGATGTGGTGATCACACAGTCGTTATCTACAGATGAGGCTCTGGTTCTGCTGGATATAGTGGGGGCGCGCGTCGGGACACCAGATAACAGAGTGAAAGAGGAATACGTAAACGAAGAGTTCTTTTTGGGGTTGTCTTCCAAACCCATACACGCTTTGATGAGTTCGGCCGCGTTCTCAGAGCTCTTGCGTTTGTTGGGTCGCGACTGCAAGTCTTGACTTTGTTTCAGCTGATGGTCTAATAACGAGTGATCGTTCTGGAAGTCATTGGCTTTATATTCATTGGAAGTGTCGGTGTCTCTCAAGACATCCGAATTATCAGTTTCGGTCGCATTCGACAGATTGAGTACCGATTCTTCCATCTCTTCGTCTTCGAGTCCTTCGTCTGAGTTCTTCATAATATAGTTGTGATCGGAAGCCACAGAATGTGTTAAAGTGTTGCCGTCATTCACCTCATCGTCACTCGGGATTTCATTCTCAGAAGTCATCGAAGATTTTATAAGTCGAGGAACGCCATCGATGTCATTGTCATCGACTGTGTTTTCAGTGCCATCAATACACTGAAGGCTAAGATCTACCGGTTCCAGTTGTGACTCTGCATTATCGCTTGAATTGCTGTCTTGATTTTGACCATCGCTTTCATTACTTGAATTCTCATCATTGATGGCATTATTATTGATTTGGTTCTGTGTTTGAGAATTAGGTAAGTCTTTAGGTTTTTGTTCACAATTATTATTATTATTGGAATTCAATGACTCGAGAGGACTGTTAGATTGTGTGACAGGTATGACAATCGATGGATTACTGTTAACGGAAGGACTCTTTGCCGGAACCAATTTAATAGAAGGCGAAGGATTGGTCACAACCACAGACTTGACTACAACGAGCTGACCGATTGAATTTCCGGCCGCAGTCACGGGAACACCCGATTGGGTGACTCCACCTGTTGTGGCCATTTTGGAGACCAAGAGGCGCACAGGAGGTGATGTGGTGTTGATTGGTATGGGAGACCCACTCGACCCCAATTGGTTTGGAGATAAGGGTGACGCGGGAGAAGATGTTGAGTTGATTAGTTCCACCAATTTATTAGCCGCCGAACGAACAGTTATACCTCCACTTCCCGACGGAATTGTAAGCAATTTAAAGGGAACTCCTTTTGAAGGCAACTGATTCGTAAACGAATTACTAGTAAATTGAGTCGTCTTTCCCGTATTCACTGAAGAACTGTTTGGAGAATTAAGGTTTGGTTTGAATGTAATGAGTGTAACACGACTTCCACTCTCGAGTGACCCGGACTTCAAATGCGGAAACATTGGAGTGGATGTTGTGGTCGTCAAAGAAGGCACAGTAGTTGTGATAACGATCTGAAGCGGCTGTTTAGCGGTCTCTTCGGTGCCAACAATTTTCATTTCATTGCTTTCTGAGCACTCATTCGTCAAGATCTTATCATTACTAGAAGTGGTCACAGAATCCGTATTTAATTTCTGTTCGCAACTCATTTCATGTGATGTCTTGTCTTCAGTCTCAGACAAACTACTCTTCAAAACCGATTCGGTTTCAGTCAATTGAACCGATGATTTGCTTTCTGGGGATTTTGACTCCGTTTTGACAGATTCAGTAGAAGTGGCAGTGATTTGAGAGACCAATTGATTAGAAATAGTTGTGTTAATTATAGGCATTTCTGGAGTCGAAGAAACTGTTTGTGATTCTTCGCTCTTATCCCGCATTTCTACATCAGATAAGACATCGGTTTTGTTTGATTGACACTCACTTTGAATTTTGAATTCGTTTGGATTTTCATCACTTTTGACTAAATCATGGCTTTGAGTCTCATTTGAATCATTCGATGCGCTGTTATTGGGGTTAGATTTGGACTGATTTTCTGTATTTGTGTCTAATTTGATAGAATTAGATAAATGTGTCGGACTATCATTTGGTTGACAATTGATATCACCATTTAATATGAGACCACTTTTACTAATTTGATGATGACTTTCGCGTTTGTTCGTTATATTAATTGCTTTTTCTGATTCACAATTAAACTTATTTATTGACGAATTGTCCACATTTTGGCCGATATTTGAATTGATTTGCGAGATAACAGAAAGCGATTCATTTGTTTCATTCAATTCTTCCTCCATTTGTGTCGAGACTTCTGAGACATAATTATGAGAAGAGTTGACATCTTTTGAGTGCAAAGCACTGGTATTTCTAACAGAATTCAGTTCTCGTGTATTCACTAAAGCGGGTATTGAAGAGGGAATGCAATTAATTCGTGTAATTCTCGAGATTTTGTTTGCAATCGTATGGGTATTGGTTGTAATCAAGGGCTCGACTGTCACGACAGCCGCGATCGCAGACTTTCGAGACTTTGTTTTTGGTTTTTCAGTACATTTCTCCTCTTCTTTAACCACTTCTTTGTGACCATCGTTTGGAGTCAAAGAGACCATCGATTGGGAATGGATTGGCTCTGAATGAAATATTTCGTTGTTGTTATGACATGTCTGTACTTTAGACTCAAGCGTTTCATTGGTCGGCGTTAATGGACTAATAGTGAACTTGGAATCCAATTGGTCTCCAATGGAATCACTGTCTTCGGATGTATTGGTAGTCAAACTCACAGAATCACTTGTCATTGAAGGCAAATCACTACTCGTTTTACTAACAATTGTCTCAACACTTGAGAGACCAGTGTTTGTCGACGTATCGGGTGTCACAGGTATTGCACATAATTGTGAACTATTGTCATCTGAGTTGAGAAGAGGCACACATTTTGTGGATATGTTTTTACAATCATTCACATTATTATCATTATTACTGTTATTATCATTGGATTGGTTTTGAGCACAATTAGAGCTGACATCAGATGATTGCGAGAACAGTGTGTCTGTCGGTTCACTGGAAGGCGTCGTTGAGATGGCATTCAAAGTGAACGGCAAGTCATTGACAGTGGGGTTTAAGTCCATTAATGAGCCGACACTGGGAGCTGAGGCACAGAGAGATGAAGTGGTTGTGACGATACCACCGCCTGAGAGGAAGCGCTGCTCTCTTTGCAATTTTTTTCTTTGGTTTTTATTCAAATTTGTACAGTCGGTGCCTAAACCAGACTCCACGGACATGGCTCTCGTCCCGCGAACAGCTCTCGTCTTCTTCGCCACAGTTGTCTTCGTCTCGATATCACTCGTACTCTCCCTTCTGTTCGATACGACGACTGCAGAGTTTGGGCCGCGGATTGAGATGTGAAGGGGAGGAACACGAGGTTCAGTCATAACTGAAGGGTTGGCATCTGATAATTGAGTGGTTGTACATCCGGTCACCAAAGGATTCAATGATTCGGTTGACTTTTGTTTAGTGAAATGATTTCGAGAATGAGTTAATGTATTCGCTGAAGAAGTTGTCGCAAAGGCTTCCCCTTTCGGGCACTCAGTCTTGGTTTCAATTTTCACTTTAAGTTTCAGTTTATCGATCGCTGAATCAGTTGAAGACATGCCTTCATTTGCAGAAACACCTGCCTTTGAAAGGATGGGATGGTTATCGCCATTCCCGACATCAATAGACGATTGCGACGACACATCCGTTCCAGACTTTCCTAATCCGGAATCGGTATCAGACGAATGGTTGTTATCTTTGCCATTACTTCCCGCATCGGATAGACTTCTTTCAGAATTGCCGCCGATATCAGATCCGGCGTCTAATTCTTGAAATATGGCAGCGGGTGAGGGTCTATCCTCCTCCTCGTCATCACTAAGCATTGGTTCCAATAGACCAGTGAATGGATTAATCAAATGCTTTGTCTTTCCAGTCGTTCTTGTGGTCGGTGGCGAAGGAAACACAGCATTGGATTCGTTATTTTTCTCAGTAGTAGTAGTAGTGGTGGTAGTGGTGGTGGTCAACACTTTACTGCTCTCTGAGTTAGGATTAGGGTTGGGATTGGGGTTAGGACTAGATTTGTCGTCATTGTGTAGATTCAAGTGTGCATTCGATGAGGGGATGGTTTTACTGTCGGGCACCTGACTTGTCGTTACAAACAAAGGTTTCCGCAAATGAGTGGTCGCTATGGGAGGCGAACCAACTTTAGGTGCCGAAAGTTGGGACCGGATTGGGAGGTGACCCGCCCTCACAACCTGCGGCTGTCCCTGTGCTTCGGGATGTATTGAAGGGTACCTTTAGTAAAGACAATCATTAGTAATCACATTATTACTGTTACGAGTGAATGGATGGCATACCTGGACATTGCGTTCATAGGAATGGTTAATAAATGTGGAGATATATTGAATGACGACTGGGTTTGCATTTGTGAATCCATTGATGACTGTTGTGTCAATGGATTGGACGGCAAGTATTTGAGTGATGGGGAACTGGTGGCAATAGTTGTAACAGATGTCTGTGCAGTCGTTGTCAGAGTCTGTGTCACAACATAAGAGGATTGAGTCGATTCTGATTCGCTTTTATCTTTCGATTTCCGACTTTTTCTGGGTTTTCGCTTTTGTGGCGTCAAATCAGTTGATGTATTCATTTGATTGTGGGCTGAGGTCTGAGTTGCCGACCCTTTCAAGTGTCCAGAAGTGGCGTCACTTTGTAAGAGATTTACCAGAAGAGGACTCGTGAGGGCGACATTAGCCGACGCACTGTTGACAAGAGTACACGTCTGGCCCAATGCGGGCGGTGTTTGTGGCGGTGTCTGAGACTTTTGTGTGGGCGTCGGTTGGGAGGGGAGGGTCCGACTCACTCTAATATTCTTTGCATCTCTAGAGGTCGTCAGTTGAGAGTTAACGTTGGAAACCGAAGCTATGGTTGAGTTAACGCTGGGAAAGGGAGGTGTAGTGGTGATGGTGTTATGGAGCGATTGGGTGGTTGTGGTCTGACTGGTGTTCAATGGCAAGCGAACAGAAGGCGCTGTTGTGATCACTTGATTTAGCCGTTGGACAGGCGTATAATGGGTGCCATGTTTGGTATGCATGGCTTGGTATGAGTGCTGCATACTTGCGAACGGGAAGAGCCCATAGTTTGACTGAACTTCACGTAGGGATGAGTTTGCTATGGATGTGACGGCAGACAGACGACTGCCGGCGAGAGAGTCCACAGAACACGTACTGGCAGTCGATGACACACATGTCGGCAACTGTGAGGTCACTGTAGAGCTGGCATTGAGGAAAGGGATGGGCTCTGTGTTGACCGGCGCCACCACATTGGGGGACCGGAACGCAGGCAACTCAACACTGTTGGGGTTCGGGTGGGCTGTGGTGTTGACCACATCAATGTGTTGTTGACTTAAATATTGTGCTATATTTTTACGGGTTATCTCAACACTGGATCCGCTCGAAGGCGAACCATTCAATTCATTGGTCAACGAGACCAGAGAGGAGACACCATTGGACGTCAAGTTGTTTACGTTATTGTAATTCACCGCTAATTCACTGTTTATTATATTATTGGGTGAAGAGTTCACTGAAGAGGTGACGACACTCGCACTGTTCACAACTGATTCACTGGTTTTGTTGATCAGTAGCTGTTGACGGCTGGCATCGAAGTTGTTGGACAGGGTTAGCGTAATCACCTATACGTACAGACATCGCAATCAATATCATCAATGGATCAGTTGGCTGTGGACGGCATACCTGATCGCCTTCTATTTGCACGGAAAGTATTCCCAACTCTCTTAAGGTGTTGTCTCCGCGTTGGGCTAACTGTCGGAGCCGTTGGGCGGCATTACGAGGTATATTGAAAGTGACTCTAACGCTGTTCCATGGCTCCACTTTCGTCACTTGGAAGGGCTTCTTAGTGTCTGCAACCGTACCATACATTCAGTCACAACTCAAACACACAGTTATCATGAAATAACCGGACATACCCTCAGAGACGAGCCGTTTTAGTTTGCATATGATTTGTGTGAGTCTTGAAGGGAAGGCCGGGTCCCTGAGATCGCCCTCACATGTCAACACTGTTTTGGCTAATTCTGGATCATCTGGTGAGACATCCATGCCTTCGGGGCATAAACAGACAGTGATTAGCATTTGTGTCAACAAATCAGTTTCAATCACCACTACTCCATCCACTCACTCATTGGCACAACAATTATAATCATCGC